GGCGAGGGGGCGGGCCGCGGCGCGAGGGGGGCGGGCCGGGTGCGCGCGCTGACGGTGCTGCCTGTCTAGTCGCGCCGTTAGCTCAGCCGCAGGGAGCCCGCGTTGCGCCCAGGCGAGAGCAATCGAGCCCTGCTGCGCCGCAGGGAGCTGAGCCCGGGGCTCCGAACGCCTCGACGCCAGCTGGTCGATGAAGGGCCATTTCTGAAGGCGAATGCTTCCTCTTCAAACAGTGACCCTCGTTAATTAATTAATGATGAGTCCCGGTGAACCTAATGGGGGGAAAAAAGCCACGTTAGGAATACCAACCAAGACTGGCAGATCGTCAAAGGCCTGTGCATTTAGGAAGGGCTTCTGGAGACGTCAAAACATTTTATAAGCTCATTAATTCTCATCATAGGCTTCTTTGTTAGGTAGCAGAGAATTATGCCCATTTTTTAACATAGAAATATTTACTGAGGTCAGAGGGTGTTTTTAGTTTTGTTTTTTTTTTTTTTTTTTTAAAGGGGGAAGGGGACTTCCTACTTGGCAATTCTCAGTAGAGTCAACTCATTTGGCACGATTTGCCAAGTGTTGCTCTCTGACCCCGCAGAGCATTACTAGTCTGTTTTCACCACCTCCCTTTGTGTAGCTTACCCTTTTCCTAGGCCGGCAAAAATCGGGCTTCACTCGTGTAAGCTACATACTACAGATTCTGATACTGTGTTGGTTTCCTGGGATGATATAGTGCCAATTATTGGGCCATAAAAGCATGGAGGAGCGTTTGACTGACTAGAGAACTAGTTGTTTTGCTTTTGAAGAGCATGATGGGTCAGACTGAATGGAAGACTCCCGAAGTCAAAGCGCCTAGCTAAAACTAGCAGAGTCATTCCGATTAATTTCCACCTTAAATTAGCCACACTAGACACTCCCATTGTTCTTCAATAATAATTTAAAAAATCCTCATAACTCTAACCTATGGTCTCAATTCTTCAAGTCACAGCACTTGTACATGATGCCACTGAATTTAAAGCACACTAAAACTTTCATTTATATTAAAGTAGCAAAGAGTTCAACGGAAGCCATTTTCTACATTGGAACACATTGGCTCCAAGTCTCTTCATATTCCTTGAAAGAATCATCAAGATTTTACTCATGAAATATACTCCTTTTCTGTCAGCACACTTAGAACTTCTTACATATCCTCGGCACTGTTAAAGGAATAGAGTTCTCTGAAACCTTGTTGGAAGTTTTTTCTTGGAGAAACTGGATGTCCTCCAGTCAGCCTCAGAAGATTAATGAAATGTGAGAGGACATTGTGAAATGGCACTTTTTTCACCTCAGCAGAGGTAGAGAACACTGGTGATAGCTGTTCGGTGGGTATTTGTGAGCACAAAGGTAACCTTAACCTTTTGGCTTCTCTGTTCAAAATATAAAAACCAGGCTAAGATGATGGCTCAGTTGGTAAAGGGTTTGCTGTACAAATATAAAGACCTGAGTTCAAGCCCCAATACCTACATAAAAAGTAGGGCGTGGTGACCCACACTTGTAATCCCAGTGAAGAGGCAGAGATGAGGGTCCCTGGGGCGTGATGACCAGCAAATCTAACCCACAAGGTAAGTTCCAGGACAGTAAGAGGTCCTGTTTCAAAAACTAAAGTGGACAGTTGCTGAGGGAAAACACCAGAAGCTTACTCCAGCCTTTCTGTATGTTTGGGAGCACGCACACATATGCACATACACCCTAAGTAAAGAAGCAGATAACAAAAAGTAAAAGCCAGGCAACAAAATCGAAGTGTGGAAATATTAATGGTAGGTGAACGTATGGAAGCAAATTAAATGCCCAACGTGAAGAGACTAGTTGAAGAAATTATTCATAAGCCACTTAATGGGATTATGGTTACAGAAGCACATATTCCATATTTGTTTAATTTTTTTTTCTAAAAGCCTCCCTTTCTGGCAGTGGAACTGCCAAAAGAGAGCCAAGCAATTAGATAAAGGCACCATTCCCCCATCCTTTTCAAACTAGTCAGTGGATCTCAGGCCAATTTCAGACTCACTCCCTAGAGGCTGCTTGTATAGGCACAAGCTGAAACAAAGGTTTTATGGCCTTTTTAAAATGTGGTTTTACTGACACAGAAAAAATGACTATGATGTACTAAATGAAAAGAAGCCATCCAATAATTATAGCACTGTCCAAAATCATTACCAAAAGACATGAAAGGACGTCATAAAAATGTTTCAATGATAGACAATTAAAATGTATAATTAAAAATAAATTATTACAAATTATTATAATTGTACATAGACAACTGGTAAAAGTCCATTAGCCATGAACTTGTTCGCCCTTTGTGGGCTGGAGTTTTCCATCTTATCGTATATTACTACAATATTTTTATTCATCCACACCTGCTGAGTTTCTCAGTAACAAATAATAAGAGCCAAATCTGGCTGTCCTCAGCAGATAGAGACCCTAATGAAAACCATTAGATGGTTTTCAAAATTGACCAGAAATATGGACAACAAGAGAGACAAAGGTAAAAAAAAAACAGTAGGCCCAGACCCTCAATAGACACAGAAATCACCCCCAAATGCCACCATTACACCAGACCTCTGCTCTCTAACTTCCGAGCTCCACACCACTCATCCACAATTCAGAGTTGGCAAGCATACATCCCATACCTATGACAGCGACGACAGATAGAAACTGACAGCTTAAACTGAGTGTTATAGGAATGCCAGCTGACTGACGCTTTCGGCTCAGGGTAGCCCTGCAGCGGCTGGAGTCCACAGGGTCCCTCCTCCATTGAGTATCTGACACCTTCTTTTCTCACTATGGTCTGACATGAAGTAGTGGAGAACATACTTTCCTGCTGGGTAAGTGACCCTTGACATAGATGGCCTTCAATCCTGGGAAAGAGGTTCAGACACTGGCCAGCTTCATGGATGTCTATGATATATCCTTCCATATTATGTTTGTGAGAACTGTCACAAAATGTGTGCCAAGGTATATAATACAGGTTTAGTTTGTATTAGTTATCAGTTGCTGCATAGCAAACACTCCCAAACTTAGTGACTTAAAATTTATTATTAAACGTATCTGTGGAGCAAGTTTCTTCTGACTTAGTCATTGTTCTATTGCTATGAAGAAACACATGACCAAGGCAACTCATATAAAAGAAAGTACTTCATTAGAGGCTTACTCACAGTTTTAAAGAGTTAGTCTATGATCTCCATTGCAAGAAGCATGTCGGCGGACAGGCATGGTGATGGAGCAGTAGCTGAGAGCTCACACCTGAAAGTTGGAGGCAGAGAGCAAGAGAGTGAGAGAGAGATTAAGCCTGGTGTGAGTTTTGAAACCTCAAAGCCCAACCCCAGAGATACACTTCCTCCAATAAGGCTATATCTCCTAATCCTCCTCAAACAATTCCACTAACTGGGGACCAGTTAAGTATTCAAACATAGGAGCCTATGGGAGCCATTCTCATTCAAACCACCACCCCTTCCCTGTATCCTCTGTTTGAATGACCCTATCTCAAGCATTCAAAGTGTGTCAGCTGTGGCTGTGAGTCATCTTCAGACTTGACTGAGGAAGGATCTGCTTCTGAGATCACGTATGTGGTCACTGGCAGGATTCCGTTTCCCAGGAGCTTTAAGGACCCCACATCATTGCTAGATTAGCCAGAAGTGGCCCTCAGAGTGGACCTCTTTGAAACGGCAGCTTGTTTCACCAAAGTGGGCAAATCAAGAAGACAACAGCACCAGGACAAAACCCAGGGTGAAGTGACATGTTGTCACTTTTGCCATAATGTCTATTAAAAACAACAACAACAACACTAAGCCAGCTCACATTGAAGCAGAAAGACGGGGCCATTTACAACAGATTTTGACATTTGTGACGAGTTCCTTTGACTCCAGGAGACTGCACTTGCTCCAACCTTATCACATAAAGATTCTAAACCAGAGACTGACAAACCTCATCTGCAATAAACTATGTACTTGTACATACGTACCATGTACATATGTGGGCCACATGTATCCATTGAAACTACTCAGCTTCACCATTGTGGATGAAGTTAGTCACTGACAACAAATAGATGTGGATCTATGTCAATAAAACTTATTTTTTTACAAAAATATACAACAAGCTGGACACTCAGGATATGATTGGGGATACCTGCTCTAGGTCATTATACAAGACCAGGCTACTAGCTGTGCAATCCCAGAGGTCAAGAAGTTCAGTTTGTTACCCACAATATGTCACCCCTACCCTGGATGACCTCGAGCCACACCTAAACAGGTTTTGGATACTTCTGCAGCTAGCCTGTGACAAATAAAAATAAATGCCAATAGCCATCCCAGGGTAGTGAACTCAAGCAAGAAGAGGTCCAAGCTGAGGTTAGTTTTCAGTTTGTGTTTTATCAAGCAACTGTTATACATATGGAATGCTTCGTTGAGTATGGGAGTAAGGAAGGGGAGAAAGAGGAATTACAGGCAATATTGATGTCAGTCAGGGCACCATGTTGTGAGAAATGAGGACTGAGAACCAGCTGCTGCTCTTTAGAAATACATGCTTCTAGGCAGATAGACCAAGGTTTGAAAAGGAAGGGTTCTGCATCTAAATT